TTCTATATCGGTATTCTTCTTCAATGTTAGGATCTCTAAGATTTATACAGAACGCTTGTAGTATTAAGGAATATCTAATTTTCCGCCAACCCAAAGTAGTAAATAAAAAATAAAGAATGAAAACAAAAAATATACCCACATCTACTTACGCATGAAGGTGTTACCGATGGGACGTAAAATACTCGACTTGTACAATACCTGGATTGTATTCAATTCGGCCCGGCCCACCCATAGATTAGACATCGATCCAATCTTATAAGAAATATTAGAGAGAAACTTTAGCTTAAATTCAGCCTGTGGCAGGGAAATCTTTTCAGACTCATTCTCATGGACCATGAACAGAACAATGAGACAAGATCTTCAAAACCTACTTTGTTTCTACTCAAGGATGCTGAATAGTGAGTCAAGTTCTACAAATACATCTAGAAAAATTCGGTGACTTGTCTTCCTACTGTTGCCAAAATCAGACAGGGAAGTTGACCCGGGATCAGAAAGTAATCCTCTGTAAGTTCTTACTACGAAATTACTGTTGCAATGAGAAGCTAAATTTTTAGGATAATGACATTAGAAGAGATGGAAATACAGTACATCAATGGGAACTGTTAATTATGTCTCGCTTACTTCAGGCCCCCTGATCTCAAGTGATGTCCATCTTGTCTACTACCGCCGTTCCATCAATTGCCAGCCTAGCAGTTCGTACATCACTTCATTATGTGACGTGCGACCCTATGCAAGTAATCGTTGGAGGATAACCGTGCCCGAATGATGTTTTTTGTATCCTCAACGATCGCTGATCGATTGCAACACATCTGTTAGCTCATCTTGCTTCCTGGTATGATAATTACGTTTACTATGCAATTAGATTAAGGATAGGTAGATATATAAATATAGTTAGTGTCACTCTATACGACTTGGGGCATCATTGCTACCGTCATGAGTCACATTGTTGCGATTATGCTTACATGAGACAACATATTCTCCCTGCTACAACAGACATCTGCCTACGTTGATGTTGACTGCACCCACAAACTCCAACACCGATCATATATCCCTCGATCCAGATTGATCCTGTCGCCGTCTCTATTTGTGCAAAACGTAACTTGTCTAGCTAATTAAGCATAATCATAACATTGCACTCGAGAGCAAATCGCTTACGGAATGACTCAGTAGGATATGAAAATTACTTTTAAAGTCGAGGTGGTAGTCCGTAATGTAGCGTCAAATCAATCAGAGTTAGTATTAGATACCTTGGTATGACGTTCAAGTAACATTCCGCGTATTAGAATGTGAAAATCGGTCATGTGCATGCGCGTGATTTTTTGTATGACATAAATCAACACGTAATCAATGGCTTACGGGATACTGTTACACGTACTGTCTTATGATGTTTATCATCAATTACATTAAACCTATCACTATCATACGGGAACGGAAGTCTTTGTCTATCCCAATATATTCCTGTCATTTTAAATGTATATTATGAGCTTTTAATTATACTATTTAATAAATTGTATGTGTGATGTAAATAATAATGTAGGTTGAGAAACGACAAACAATACTACGATATCTCCATAGTCTATGCAGCTGCAGGTGCAAAGGACCATGATCTAGAATATGACGCAGCAAGCACTCCATAACGTGACTTTATAAATTAAAATCATTGGTCGAACGAGTGACGCTAAATACCTCATTTTCCTAATACAACACAAGAGACGAGCACTTGAAGATAGACGCAGCAGTTATATTAACGAATACATAAAATTAATTAAAACAAGAGATCGTTATACAAAACATGGGCTGTTAGTGTAGGGCTTTATTGAGAAACTCCAAAACGAACGGGTATCGTGGTGGTCGAAAGCAGAGACTATCGCTCATTATCCGAACAGCTATTCGCATTATATGGTATCCTGTATTGTCTTCTTCAATATAATTATCCTGTTTACGTGACTTCTCGATGAATGACCAAATAGAGCTCATTTTGGGGTCTGAAATATTATTAGATAATCAATGCGTTGGTTAAGTGCTTTATTTATACGGTATATTGTTATCCGTCTATTTGCATGCTTTCTATATATTACGTGTAGTATAATTTGGGTGATCGAAGTTCAGAATGATGAATCACAAGTCTAATTTATCGCTATTTATATTACAAACGTTTCTTTATTTAATACCTTTCAAATAAATTCCTTAACCATTCTTACTATTACGCCTTTCATAAAAATCGATTCATTCCTATTTTCAATATATTAACAAGGCATTGCACCGCCAAAAAGCATATCCAATCAATTGCTGTGCTACATAGAATGCATACATGCTTTCCTCGCTCGCTATATCACTATGAACTAAACACGACAACTGACACCCGATGCTCATGCGGTATTGGATAAAATCTAATATGGCACATCTTTCCTCTTTCAATATGATAAACGTTGCGCCGAAAGTAAACAATTATGTCTTGATTAAATGACAAAACGGGATCAATGGAACGTTCCGAGAACATTCAGTTCTAGCTATAATGTCAACGGCATCAACAATAACAATAGTTTTGCATTGAATATCCTATTGTAATTCTTGCCCCATGTTATTACCCAGAATACACTTAAATACGCAAGTTCCCCCCCCAATGAGACGATATCTTACAAACAGATAATATTATACAACATACCACACAACATGTCCGCAATGAATATCACTCCAGAAGAATCCATACCACGCAACATTAGAGAAGAATTCGCACCACCCGACATGCGTGTCACGAGAGAAGAAATTGAGCTATTTCAGCTGGCTGCCCGACGAGGACATGCTAACGCCATATGTTTCTTGGGAGATTGTTACAAAGTCGGTGAAGGTGTGAAGAGGGACGACCAAAAAGCGGTCAGATTATATCGAAAAGCTGCCAGAGGTGGATTCGTCCTGGCAATACATAATCTTGCCATTTGTTATTATTATGGAGAAGGCGTGGAAAAGAATAACCGAGTGGCATTTATATTGCTTCGAACCGCAGCAAGTCAGGGAGATGCCAGTGCGCAATTCCGTCTTTCGATATTTTATTCTAACGAGATTGGGGGCGTACAAAGGAACATTCAAAAAGCGAATGAACAGGCAGCAGACCACACGGACGCGCAGCATCTATTGACGTGTCCACAAAGGAATTGTAAATTGTGACGCGTGATGACAGCAATTATAAGGTTATAACAACGAATAAGAATTCCAAGGTTGCGGTGTGATTAGTCAAATTTTACAAGCACGTAAGAAATAGTAAAGAGGTTTTAAATCACTTTATTTCGATGTATAAACCATCATATGGTATTTTTTTGATTTATAAAGACTTATAGTACAGGCGTCATCTAAAATAATTTTCGACATTGTGACATTGCCGTTTTTTGTTTGCTGCCAAATTGCGATTAGTAAATGATTCTTACATGTACATTCTTCTAATCGATAATAAACCCGTCACTCAGTAGAATGGATATAGACATCTCACCTTCTAGTTTAATTCATCACACATACGTGCTTATTATTAATTAAGAAATCAGGGCTTTGAGAAGGCCGGACGCATTCCATTCGCACACAAGCTTAGTTACTCTCACAATGCGAATCACTAGGTAAATCTTGAGATATTGTTCAATGCTGTAACCAAAATAATACTTCCTAATGGCAGGCAACATCATATGAGCAGCATTATACCATCGACATTATCGAATTCTATACATTCACCCTCTTTACTCACCTAGCTGTCTAAATTTTGCTCTCACTATTACTATTCCAATCCACCCATCTTGTTCCTTCCAACCACGCCCTTCATAATCATAACGATCAAATTCTCACCTGACGTCCTTCCTACATTTCCCGATGCTGGGTGTTTGGCTGAGCATATATTCAACGAAATTCTCGTTTCCATCGACATCCTAGTATGATCAAGTTCTCATTCATAATCACTTCCCTATGTCTGGTGCCGACCGAGCTAGTCCGCGCGTTATAATCTTTCGTGACAATACTGTTCCCCTTCCCTCTTTCCACTCACTAATCTTACTCTCCCAAACTTAAAAGTTCCCAATCGACTTCTGAAACCAATCGTTAATTAGTGCGTCAGTATCACTGGCTAGCCTTTGGATAGATAAACAGATTGTGGAGGTTACCCTAGGCGGGGTTGAATTGTTTCATATATATAAGAGAATGGTAAAATTCTGAAGAGACCACGGGAGAAAAAATTATAAGACATCTAGCATTCGGTGTTGAGTATTACTCAACCATTAAATCACATTGTCTAAACAATTCACGCACAAAGCGCGTAAAATTCTATTAAACGTTCACGGATCCAAGAGAAAATTCTCTGGTTGCTAGAAGTAAAATAGAGGTTATAATCAGCGTCTGAAATACCTTTTGCCAACGTTCCATTTGTGAAATTTCTTCTATTTAAATCAAAGCAATATAGGCAATGAAAACTACCTGCCATCAGCGCTTACGCGCACTGCATCTGCAGCCGTGCTCGTTTAATTACAACAGACCATGGTTCTAATATATACGGCAGCATCTTCTCGTCCAACTATTAAATCGTAGTAGAGTCAGCTCAGCATTAGAAATTTCAAGTGAATTGGTTGACGTCCGTTAAATAGCAAGCTTGACCAATAATGATAATTGATTGCGGTCCTAATAATAATACTTACAATATAAATAAAGCACCGCCTAGTACTAACTGACTAGAAGACAGGATCCCGTTCGGCATTTTCATGATTCTATCGTGTTGATCGCTTTGATTTTTATTGGTTATTATGTTACTTGATCAAGTATTTCTGCGGCAAAAAGAATGTTAATGTTTCCAAAAAGAACAAATGTCAGAAGTAAATGAAATGCAATTGACCAAAGCAAGAAAGAAGAAAATGGAAACGTGTTATCATTAAAAGCATAATCTGTTTCTTCGCACGAAAGTAACGGTTGTGGTGGAAATGAAGGTCGAGGAGGCTATGAAAATCGAATGGGTTATAAAAATAAAATGAATTATGATAACAGAGGAGGACCTGATAATCGAAGGGTCTATGACAACAGTGGAGGTTATGAAAATCGAGGAGAATATGAAGGCCGAGGAGGATATGAAGATCGAGGCTATGAAAATCGAGGAGGATATAGAGGTTGAGGAGGATATGAAGGTCGAGGAGGATATGAAGGTCGAGAGGATATAGAGGTCGAGAGGATATAGAGGTTGAGGAGGATATGAAGGTCGAGGAGGATATGAAGGTTGAGGAGGATATGAAGGTCGAGGAGGATATGAAGGTCGAGGAGGGTATGAAAATCGAGGGTATGACTCAAAACCATATGATAACAAATCTCAAGGCATTCTCCTCAATCCGACGAGTGCCAAATCAAA